CCCACAAACTGCAAACAAGCACTAGCTCACTGTCTCCTGATGAGATGAGCAACCTCACATCACATTCAGTTAAGTGCCTCTAACAGCCCACAAACTGCAAACAAGCACTAGCTCACTGTCTCCTGATGAGATGAGCAATCTCACATCACACTCAGTTAAGTGCTTCTAACAGCCCACAAACTGCAAACAAGCACTAGCTCACTGTCTCCTGATGAGATGAGCAACCTCACATCACACTCAGTTAAGTGCCTCTAACAGCCCACAAACTGCAAACAAGCACTAGCTCACTGTCTCCAGGTGAGATGAGCAATCTCACATGACACTCAGTTAAGTGCCTCTAACAGCCCACCAAACTGCAGACAAGCACGCCGTCTTGCAGCACACAAAATGGCTAAGTAAAAAAAAAAAAAGCAAGTTTGTCCCCGATCTTGATTAATTACGCACTATGCCATGAAGACGAATGGGCGATGGACGTACAGTTCCACCGTTCTTGACATAGGCCGCTTTACACCCGCGAGGAAGGAGTCTCCGGTACCCACTGACTAGGAGCCTGGACGTGTCTGGACGCTTGCTACCTGCTTCACACTGTTTCTTGCTTCGCTTATTCGACCGTGAAGATAAAGTTAACATTGTCCTCTGAAACGTCGGTTGACTTTCAACTGGCTACATGGTGTTATATCCCATCTTTACTGGCGCTAGAGCTCTCTGTAGGTCTCGGTCTCCTCCAACTTTACCGGCGCTAGAGTCCTGTGTGGGTCTCTGTCTCCTCCATCTTTACCGGCGCTAGAGCTCTGTGTCTGTCTCGGTCTCCTCCATCCTTACCGGCGCTAGAGCCCTGTGTGGGTCTCGGTCTCCTCCATCCTTACCGGCGCTAGAGCCCTGTGTGGGTCTCGGTCTCCTCCATCGTTTCATGACGGTGAAATTTTCCTGGGGTGGGGTCGTTAGCCCCACGCTCAACCCCTAACCTGGTGGACCAGGGACTACACTTCGTCTGACCCCTACATTTGACCTGTCTGGCAAGGGCGACCCTACCAGGAGCTCACGCTCCCGTCAGCATAGCTCTCTGGGTGATTTGAGCGTGCAGACTTCCTCTCCATGACAACGCTGCATCCCAGAAGATATAACTTGCATCCCAGAAGATATAACTAACTCTTTATTACGTAGCCTGGCTGGCTCTATTCTCAGGTTATTTTACGGTCTGACAATCGGATATTAATATTAGTACAGTTTTCTCCGAGTATTTCGGTTTCCCTTGCCAACCTCCATTCCACCAAATTCTTCATCATCATATTCACCCGGGGCAGGCTACAATATGTCAATCAGTGGCCGCCGTGCAGAGTGGACCCAGCTGGACTCCACCCCCCACTAAGTGAATTAAAAATTACTTCAACTTCCTCATCCTATCATGACGAGGTGCACAGGCACAATTTTCCCTTAACTTTACGTATCTACCTACCACTCGGCGCTACAGCCCTGGGTGAGCCTTGGTCTCCTCTACAGCCAGTCTCCACAATCAATGCAGGCTGTCATAGGAATGGATCCACGCATGATGACTTGACTTTACGTAATAATCTTAAATAGCTTCAAATGTCCTTAGATGCTGATACCCTCTAAATGGAAGGGGGATGTGGCACGCACACCTCAGGCATGTTCCTATTGTACAGTACGGCCTGTAAGTGGCGTGAGCCTTTCGCTGGGATGAATCAAACATTTCAATGTCGAAGTTAACGTCGTAGAACTGATACTGAAGATCAGTTTATCGGTTATGTGGACAGCTTGAAGTGCAGAATTGTCGGTACGTCCCACGGCGGTGTGGCAGAATACGTATATACGTCGATACATATCTTAACTCATTGAGACAGACATTACACAGATAAATATTGGATTTGATGCCCTCACGAAGCTCCCTCTGAAGAGTATCGTGTTCTGGCACGTGACATGGGCACTCCAGTAGAATTTTGCTGACGTTTCGGAGGATCGAAAAGTAAGATAAAGTTGAAGAAAGCAGTTTTCTGGGATTTGGCACCGTGTATATGTGGTGTTAACCGACGTTTCGGAGGAACGTATCGCAGACTGAGTCTGCTTTTACCGGTTCTCACGGTCTCTTCGCTTGCAGATTTCTTATATTTTTTCTTCTACCTTGAAGATGNACCCCGCTATTCTTGACCTCGGTACCAGATGAATCACCTTCACGCTCCAGCCGCTTTACCCCCAGTAGCCATTGTATAGGAGGCTGAGTAGGCTACAGAGCCGTTCTGGTCGTTGTGGAGTAACGAATAGATCAACCCTTGCTAGGAATCGAACCCCGACAGTCCAGCCAGTAGCCCGCCGAAATACCGACTGAGCTATCCCTGATCTTCAGAGGATCGTAAGGTGGAAGGGTAAGCCAAGCAACCAATAATAAGTTGGCTCTATAACTCCTCCCCTTGCTTCCACTGGTTCTCTCTGGGCCTTCTTCCAGGCCCATATCTGGGCCACGTCACTTCTCGTGCGGCTCATTCTGCTTCTTCCTTGCGTTTTGTTGGTTCCTTCCTTGATTGGCTGGCTTCTCGACCCAGAAGAGGAATCCAGTATGCTCCTCCGAAACGTCACTGAATTTCGACTACATGGCGTCACATCCCAGAAGTGAGTATGCTTCAATGTACAGAAACTGCTGACCCAGAATAATTCTGTCGCAAGAACTGCCCCTTAACAGGCGGTGTTTTCTACGCGGTCCGTCCCGAAGGTACATAAGGACAACTCTGCTCAGCGTCATGGGAGAGAGGTGAGTGCCTGGAAGGCCCCAGAGCCTCCACACAGTAAAATGCGGATATGAGTTCCGCCAGACTCGGAACCAAGTATCGCTGTGCTGGCGAGGACCAGCTTCAATCCCCGGACGCTTTACTCCTAGAGGAAAGAGCCGTAGGCACCCATTAGATTGAAGGATGGGTGTGCCCCAGGGCCGGTCTGGACACTGCACAGCAGAGAAAAATTTCCTGCCCTTAAGGGGAATCGAACAGCAGTCCTCTAATAGCCTGTCTCTATACCGTAAGACAAAAAACGTCACTTCTGTCACTAATACAGATCCTGATGCTGATATATCATATAATTCTTCGATGACTGAAGTTTATGACGAAAATACTGCTTCACGTACAAACTGCTGAGTCGTGTAAACACATTCGATGCGTTATTTTGGAGACTGAATGTTATAAACAGGGCCCGGATTTTGATGGCGTGAAAATATTTAAAAAAATGACCTATAAAATGACCGAAAAAATGTCCTAAAGGAGAAAAGAAAGAACACTTCGCTAGCATATTATTCATATTTCAGAAAACATATGAAGAAAAATTCCCTAATATGGCAAAAAATGACAAGAAATACCCTTAAAAGTAAAAAATTACCTATAAAATTTACATTTCTGAAACCAGCAGCTCATATCCGAGATCTATATATTTAAGAGCATCGCACAGGATACAAGGAAAAAAAAAGATGACATGTCATCAAAATCGGGGCCCTGGTTATAAAATAGTGGGAGGGACCCATACTGCATGATTACGTCAGTCTTCAGTTGCGTCGAATGGCTTTCTAAGGTCCTTATAATCTAATCCGTTACAAACATTCTCCTTCTGACACAGCTGTCTCGTCGGCAGACCAACTATTTTTGGTTCGTTCATTCATATCACTTCTTGGACAGGATAACAGCCCGTTCCGGCTTCAAATCATCTCCCTCTGGGCAGACCCACATCCTTTCACTGCGAGCAGGAACTCTCCGTAGAGACAGACACACGACAGGGAGTAGGGACACTGCCTTCCTGAGCTACAAGTCCCACTTAGGAAGACGAACTCCTGGGGGTCCTCCGTACAGACAGACCCACGATAAGAGACCCTGCCTTCCTGAGCTACAAGCCCCACTTAGGAAGACGAACTCCTGGGGGTCCTCCGTACAGACAGACCCACGATAAGAGACCCTGCCTTCCTGAGCTACAAGCCCCACTTAGGAAGACGAACTCCTGGGGGCCTTCCGTATATACAGACCCATGATAAGATACCCTGCCTTCCTGAGCTACAAGCCCCACTTAGGAAGACGAACTCCTGGGGGTCCTCCGTACATACAGACCCACGATGAGACCCTGCCTTTCTGATCTAAAAGTCCCACTTAGGAAGACGAACTCCTGGGGGTCCTCCGTACATACAGACCCACGATGAGACCCTGCCTTTCTGATCTAAAAGTCCCACTTAGGAAGACGAACTCCTGGGGGTCCTCCGTACATACAGACCTACGATGAGACCCTGCCTTCCTGATCTACAAGCCCCACTTAGGAAGACGAACTCCTCCGTACAGACAGACCCATGATAAGAGACTCTGTTTTCCTGAGCTACAAGCCCCACTTAGAAAGACGAACTCCTGAGGGCCCTCCATACAGACAGACCCACGATAAAAGAGACCCTTCCTTCCTGAGCTACAAGTCCCACTTAGGAAGACGAACTCGTGGGGACTCTCCGTACAGACAGACCCACGATAAAAGAGACCCTTCCTTCCTGAGCTACAAGTCCCACTTAGGAAGACGAACTCGTGGGGACTCTCCGTACAGACAGACCCACGATAAAAGAGACCCTTCCTTCCTGAGCTACAAGTCCCACTCAGGACCCTCGTAACAATACAGAGCAGCTACACGTCCCGCTGTAGCTAATGATCTGACATGCTCTACACTCCCTGTCCCAGTTAATGGCCTCGAACCAGTCCACTGCGTTCTGTTAGGAACAGTAGGAGTAGCTCTGTGGCTTGCACTTACCTTCCGCTGCGGCATGCAGGGCGGGCGGGGGCCAAGGTGCACGGTGCCCCGAACTGGACCGGAATGGGGACCCAGCCGAGCCGCTCAACATAGCGGACACCGGCTGATGGAACCCACCACCTAGAACAAAACCATTCGACAAATCAGAACTGGCCGACTTGGACACCTAACAACCACCTTTCCTGCTGCATGGATTTACAGACCTACAAATCTGTTAACTGTTATCTATGTTACCTGTTTTACTTCTGCCAAGAACTTACTTAAGTGTGCACGTTAAATTTGTCATACATAATCTCAAAGTTCAGTATCACCGTCATGTTTATAACTGCTGACTTAACAATATCCCACATATGTAAAGGCAAAAGGTGAAGCTATCCCTGTAACAACAGAGGTCCACTGGGTTGAGCCGTCGAGGCTCCCACATTTTAAGGCGCGTCCACATTACTCGTGCTCGTTCTCGTGCTCGTGTGACTCGCTATGCTCGCGAGTAATGTGGACGATATGACAAGTCACGAGATAAGCAAATTTTAAATTTTTATTTTAAAAACTATAGCAAATAAATTAAATACGACTACAGCCTATACACACTACGAGTAAATATACGGATCCTCACGAGCCGAAGCCTGGCGTACGAGCACGAGTATAAGTCAGACGAGTCTCCCGACGAGCACAAGCCTGGCGAGCACGAGTAATGTGGACGCGCCTTTATAGACATTTGGCTCCCAGATGGCGGTGAGGTTGTCAACCTTACACGCGAACAGACCGCCCTTTACCCCCAGGAAGATTCCTGGTACTCATTTCTGTTAGAGGCTGAGTTGGCCCCAGGGCCATAGTGCGGCTGGAACCGCTTGTGACTTATCCGCAAACAAAAATTTCACACGATAAGCTCCAGAATGCGCTCTCTTTACAATTATCTAAGAAATGCTTAACTAAATAAATGCTCTGTTTAGTTCGGCAATTTTCAGCTAATTGTAGATTATAACATACGAGTATGTGTCGAAATCCAAAATTTTCACGTTGCTTCCGCCCTAGGGGGACAAGCCTCAAAATTGGGGAACGTCTGGTCTAAAATATCTTTCAGAATACGTTCACACCTTGAGTAAACAAATTTAAGGCTCCAGCGGGCCCAATGAGATCTCCCCTCTGGCGATGTTGCCTCCTGTCTTCATTGCAAATAGAATCTAGCAACTTTCTACGATGGTGAAACGAGAATATCACCAACCGACATTCTGAAAGACATTCTAGAAGCAACATGCATCCGCTTCCCCACACGAAGGCTTGAGCTCGGTCTGGTCCATAAAGGAAAAGTAAAAGTATCCCTGTAACAGGCTGTGGAGGCCCATAGGGTTGTGAGACGTCGAGGTTCCCACATTTTCTAGACAATCGGCTCACAGATGGCGGTGAGGTTAAGTAAAGCTATCCCTGTAACAGGCCGTGGAGGCCCATAGGGTTGTGAGACGTCGGGGTTCCCATATTTTCTAGACAACAGGCTCGCAGATAGCGGTAAGGCTGGGGCCACACGAGCGCACAAAATTCGTCCGTTGTAACGAACGTACTATATGAACACGAGCGCACAAAATTCGTCCGTTGTAACGAACGTACTATATGACGGACGTTGCTGAGGACACCACACAGTTGCAGAATGCGGTGCGTAGTTTTCTGTCTGCAATGGAACCAGAAGTGTAGCATTCGTCTCTCTTGTTTATTTCTACAACGGGCGCATTTTGTGCGCTCGTGTGGCCCCAACCTAAGGTTGTCAGCCCTACGCGCCGGCCGCCCTTCACCCCAAAGAATATTCCTGGTACTCATTTCTGTTAGAGGCTGAGTCGAACCCAGGGCCACAGTGCGGCTGGAAGGATTAGGTCAATTGAAAAAAATTGAATGACCTCATCGGGATTCGATCCCGCGACCTTCCGGCTTGTAGCATAGTGCCTCAACCAACTACGCTACCGCGGTCTGGTCCATAAACATATGTAAATACGTACGCAGCTATAAACAACGCACTCCAGTATTTCTTGGCTACGTAAGGTTTAATCGCAACATCAGGAAACTCCTTAAAGGAGGGGACCTCTTTGGGATTAACGTGAAGACGCCCCGAATACAGACTGTTTTATAACATAAAAAACGCGGGCGAAGTCTTCACGAATTCATGTACCATGAAATATTATAATTTGCATAATAAAAAAAATATTTCATATCAGAGGTATTGAATCTCACGCCAAGCGTCATGCTTTGCAATGGTCTGGAAACAAGTTGCAGTTAATATTTCCTTCTTCCTTCTCTCCCCCGTGAAAACCTACCGTCACCCCAAAGGTTATTCCCAGCCACTCGCCACCGTAAAGCAAAATTCTGCTTGGCGAGCGCTTGGACAACTAAGCGCACGAGAGCATCAGCTGCTGGCTGGATTCTTTTACGCATTTCTGGGCCCTTAGAAAGGCGGTCTTCTCAACTTTACAAGTTCCTTGCACCCAGCAAAGTGCCAGGTCAGAGTGAAGTACATTCGACGGAAAATGTGTTCCATCTTCGTCAGTATGGCAACACTGGCTCTGCTCACCTTTAAACAACATGGATTTGGAGATACAAGAAATCGTGTAAAGTAAGTTCCATACAAAATAAGTTCAATTTCCGTCAGTATGCCAACACTGGCTCTGCTCACCATTAAACAACATGGATTTGGAGATACAAGAAATCGTGTAAAGTAAGTTCCATGCAAAATAAGTTCAATTTCCGTCAGTATGCCAACACTGGCTCTGCTCACCATTAAACAACATGGATTTGGGGCCAGAAGAAATCGTGTAAAGTAAGTTCCATACAAAATAAGTTCAATTTCCGTCAGTATGCCAACACTGGCTCTGCTCACCTTTAAACAACATGGATTTGGAGACAGAAGAAATCGTGTAAAGTAAGTTCCATGCAGAATAAGTTCAATTTCCATCAGTATGCCATCACTGGTTGTACTCGATGAAAACAATGGGGTAAAGTAGCATTTTTTGGAGAAGGAAGTGCCACCGAACTGGTTCCAACTGCACGCGAGATGCGTGGTCAGGGAGCCAAAGCTGGGTTGCATGGCACAAAATAAAACATCGCATCTGCCCCTTTCAATATGAAAAGATACTTGGTACTTACACTCACATGTGAATGGACTGAAGAGAGGTGGGCGGAGAAAATTGGAAAATGAGGCCAAGGGGAAGGGTGGATATAGCCCATGTGACAGTGACGTGTGTCAGACTTCAGAGGGGGGAATATTACAGATTCTGGGAGGGGGATGTTATTCCGCCATAAGGGCTGCGCAGGGGGAGGGAGAATTTAAATCCAGAAAGAAACCAGTGGCCTCAGGAAAGCCGAAACTGCTATTAGAAACAAGATCATAACAGCCAATCCAGATTTTCCCATATCCGAGGTTTATATAAAGACAAAATTCTGACAAATCAGGCCACAGAGGACTCGAAGTTTCTCAAATAATTACGCCGCTGTTCATTACTGTGTGCGCCTATGTAACGGGCACGGACCTTTCAAACTTCCATGCCGTATGTTTAAGAACGTACATAGTTTTACATAAAGCAAAGGTGCTTATATAATTAAGCACTACACCATGAAGGTGTATGGGGGAGTGGACGTATAAACAATTATCCTCACGAGGCTGAGTGGACCCCGTTCTAGACCCACCACTTCTCAGAAAATCTAGTAGCGCCGGGAACCGAACCCGGACCTCTGGATGTGTAGGCAGAGACTCTGACCACTAGACCACAAAAGCAAAGTGGATGTATAAATCCACATTTTCTTGACCTCGGCACTAGCTTCAGGTGAGTGGTCAGCTACACGCCCCGGCCGCTTTAACCTCGCGGTACCCATTGGATAGGAGGTTGGATGGGCTCCAGAGCCAGTGTAGACGATATGGAAAAGAGAAACTTCTGACCCTACCGGGACTCGAACTCCGACCCCTCGGTCGTGTAGCGCGTAGCCATTCGCTATACAGAGCTATTCTGGCTCCTTGTTTTACATAAGGAGGATTCTTAAAATAAGGTTCTGTTTATTTCCGAGAGATAACGCACAAAACTTTCATTATGCAGTTAAACATGAAGAACTCTTTTACTTCTCCCACTGTAACATCTGCATCGAAAATACGCAACACAGAGATACAACACGAAAAACGTAAAGCTATCCCTGTAACTGGCTATGGAGGTCCATAGGGTTGTGAGACGTCGAGGCTCCCACACTTTCTCTAGAAAATCGGCTCACAGATGGCGGTGAGGTTGTCAGGCTGTCCTTTATCACCCAGCAAAAAATTCTGCTACTCATTTCTGTTAGAGGCTGAGCCGGCCCCAGGTACTCGAACCCGCGACCTTCCGGCTTGTACCATAGTGCTTCAACCAAGTAATTTTTCTCAACTTTCTAGATACTGGCTCTAGAACTCCCAAACATTATTTTCAGACAATTTACATAATCTAGCTACTGACGGGGTCATGAAATAATCAGAGGACAAATAAGCGCATGCCACATTTAATTGACCTAAATACTAACGGTTGCACTGCAGCTACACACATCAGCACGGGACACTGTCACGCAACAGGTCTAAGGGCCACAGAACTGAACACAGACACGTGTGCGTGTGTGTGGGCGTGCGTGCGTGCGTGTGTAGTAGCTAGGGCTCTCACAGCAGCGACTATGCGGAGTTCTGTCTTCTGCCTACGTCAAGCCTCGCTTATCTTTCAACCGCGATGGTTCCTTAGAAGAGTCAGGACTTTCAAAACACTGCATGGCGTCACATCCCAGAGGACAGCGCCCTTCCACTTACGCGTGTAATCGAGTTGTAAATTTCATTCTATTTCACTGGTTCCTTTAGGAAGCCAATGGCTTACACTACGAACGTTGCTAGACCTCATTCGGGTTGGCTACTAATTATACTTACTTACTTACTCATGGAACTGAGCCCTTCTTAAAGAGCCGCCAATTCTGCAGCTACTCAAGAACTTACCAGCATTTTATGGAACCCGAAGGTTCATTACCTTGTTCACAAGAGCCCTCCACTGGTCCATATCCTGAGCCAGATCAATCTAATCCGTACCATCCCATTCTATCTCTCTAAGATCCAGTCTAATATTGTCCACCCACCTACCTCT